TTACAAATACACAGGTCACGGGTTCAACTCTAGGGGTCGACACAGATACTGTACACAGGTAAGGTGGGGACTAGGGATCGAGCCCTGGGATCTGCATCGGCTACTGCGAACTGGTGAATACCGTTTCACTCCCGCTGGCCTAAATTCGAGGTCCTGCGAGAATAATACCATCCAAGGCAGGACCTTTACCTTTCTTATCTCTCTCGTAGGCTCTAACTATATCGGGAGCTGTCTCTAAAAGTTCTGCTCTAGTGAACCAGCGGTCGTCCTCCGGCTCCTGGTAAGCAAACCGGACCTTATATTGCTTCTGAGGATGGCCGCTGCCTCCTGTTCTGAACACATCTTCACCTATGATGCCGTCAATGTCATACCTTCCGTCCATGTCTGGAGGGATCATGGACCGTCTCGATGGAAACTGCTGACTTGTGACACACGGCAGCAACTTTGATGCATGAAATACAGGGTAGGTGTGGAGGTGCGCTCGGATCTCTATGGTGTAGGACGGCCCATCCTCTCCGCCCTTGACTTCTAGAGCCGGCCACGGTCCTCTATACGCAGGCAGTAACTTCTGCGAGATATTTTCCTCAGGAGCAAACTCTTTAGACTTAACCCAGACCAGGTCGCCTACCTGAAACTGTGACGGGCGACGGTGCTTATTAGCCTGTTCTATCATCCGGTGCTGGGCCTTCCTGAGGTTCTCAATAACAATGGCTATTTCTCTCTCATGTTGGATCGCAAACTCCCGGGTACCGGGCGGTAGCCTATGAATCTGATCCCGGTTAAGCCCTTCAAACGGTTTGTGCGGTCTAAAGGACTTGTGCAACTCATTGGGAGTGCGACAGGTTGACAAGTGCACGCTGTTATTGTACGCACTGGCTACCTTGGGCAACATCTCATCCCAGTTGAGTTCATCTGGTCTAATGTACATGCGCAAAACTTGCTGCAGGATTTTGTTCATCTGCTCAGCCTGACCGTTAGTCTCTGGACGGCGGCCAGACGACATCAACAACTTGGATCCATAGACCTTCATCAGTTCCTGCCAGTTCTAGCTAGTGAAGCAACTATCTCTATCGCTAACTGTAGACAACGGGACTCCATGCTCACTAACCCAAAAGTCAAATTTTTTCTGAACTACTAACTCTGTACGGGCCTCTGCAGGCAAAGGAACAAAAACAACATACTTGCTAAATCTATCGACTATAACCATGACTTGGCTTTTGCCGTGCCTACTCTTGACCTACGATCCATAAAGTCAATGGACACAGAGTCTCCTGGCTGGTCAGGAATAGGCAAGGGTCTGAGAAGACCTGGAAGGGCACGCGTAGTGCTCTTGTTTCTCTGACTGACTTTACAACTGCGGACATACTTTATGCAGTCGTTCTTCATACCAGGCCATGTATACGCATGCATCAGGTTGGCTAGAGTCTTTTGCCAACCGAAGTGTCCCTCTGTATCTTGGCATTCCCCTAGGATCAAACTACGGATCTCCTCGCAGTTAGGAACGCACAGACGGTCTACCACATTGGTCTTCTCAAATAGCAACCCCTCTGTAGTGCGGTAATCTGGCTCGGTCTCTGGGGCCTCCTTGACTTTTTTAGGAGGTCATTATAGATAGGGTCTTGCGCATACGCCTGTCTAACTTTCTCCTGCAGGTCTCTCCCTATGTCCAGATAGTGAACTATAGCTCCAAAGTAGTCTGATCTCCTACTTAGAGCATCTGCAACTACATTGTACTTCCCTTTGACAAGCTTGAGCTCAAAGTCATACTGGTCTACCTCAGGGGCCCACCTAGTCAACTTAGGTGTCATCTTGGCCTGTGTCTTCAGCCACCTAAGGGTCTCATGGTCTGAATACACTTTGAAGTGCCTCCCAAGCAGGTAATGCTTCCAGTGCTCTGAGGCCTGCCTGAGAGCGTAGAGTTCTCTCTCATATGTCGAGGTAGCAACC